GGCTCTCACCGTTGTTTGAGGTCACAAAGTGAAGTGAAGATCACTCATTAGTCTGCAGAATAGTACTAACTGTAGTAGAGAAGCAAGATGACGAAGGGGATGTGAGTATAAAGGAGAATGGAACATTGTATAAACTAAACAACACCAAGGTCTGAACTGAAGCAATCTTTTATGGAAAAGTAACTGACAGACCAAACCAATTTCTATACATGAATTCATCAAGATGACTATATGTCATATGATTCTGGGATCCATTCATTGATCGAATACCCTCCTTACAATATTCCCAGAATCTCTCGATAGAATTGAAATACGCTCCATCACAAAAGGGTCAAAAAAGTCTGACTAACGATTAAAAGTGTGAATATATCCCAGAGATGATGACTGCCAGTAACCACCACCCTACTCATCTGTGGCAATAGTAATTGGAGGAACATCCACACTTTAGTTGGAAATTCTTTCTAGAGATCCCTCTCTAAAAGTCGTATCGTATAGTCCATGACTCACGTTTGTTTGGCATGCTATCTCCCATAATTATACTGTGGTAGTGGGATACAGACAGTGTGTTCCAACGGAATATTATTCTCACATATTTCCACAGTTCAGTACTGCATTAGCAACAGAATACTACACATGTTTGAACATTCTATTTCATGTCGTTTCGTGTAAACGAAAATCACACGCTGGCTCAGTGATTCGTTAAAGAATATAAAACTGTATATATGATAAATAGCTGTTTGATCACTTGAAAATATATACCTTGGCTTCCGTGTTTTGCCTTCTGCTGTTACAATACTTGGTTCACCAAGATTACACGCCATGCTACCTACCCATCTCCAGATACGTTAGAATATCGACAGTGCTGATACCACTCTATATTGTGGATGCCATTGTGCCTTGCGCAACAGTAGCAGTTGCTGATGGTAGTCGCTTAAGAAGTCAATCAATAGTGACACAAATACAGTATTTTGGCTTGCTGGAGAAGGTGAATTCCATGAATATTGATCCATGCGGAAGAGCTGACGAACAACTGCACGTTTGTTTTAGTCTCTATTCTTTTCAATTGACCACCATAGATTTTGATCAGTGTTTTTATCCATAGGTTGAAACGAATGTGCTGACGGCGCTTCATACAACTAGACATTTCCTGCAAACAACATTCAGCATAATCTTCAAGGAAAACCTCAACAGTATGGTTTGAGATATCTCCTTCTATTCACAATTAAATAGTATGACACTAGTGTGCGTCGATGGCACAATGGTTAGGACGCTCGCCGAGCATACACATGGTCAGGGGTTCGATTCCCGGCCACAGACGCACTCCTTTACCTCGCTGAGCCAATATTTAAAAAAACAAAAGCTGGTAAAGAGGAAAGGTTGGGCACATGAGGCAAGCAACCCCATCCTGTAAAAATAAACACCACTGCTACAGAAACTTCAAGCCTCTAGCTTGAAGCCCTATGTTCCACTGGGAACGTGAAGGAATTTTTAAAAAAAAATGACACTGGCTGCTTATTCGCCTAAACACTCGACTTTCATAGCCAGTAGATCCAGAGAGATCGAGTTCTCCTTCGTTTACTTTAGCCAAAGGAACTAAGTAGTAATTATCACCAGTCCTGAACACAATATGCATGGGACTCATAGCCCCAGAGTTCTAGCGTTAACTAAGGTCTACAATAATTGTGGTACCAAACAGGAACCGATTGTGAAACAAATAGGCAGGAAGAAATGGAGATGGATTGGCCATACTCTGAGGAAACCAAACCATCAAGTGACATCACTAGACAAGCCATCACTCGAGTGGAACCCGAAAGGGAAGCGGCGTGTTGGTCGTCAGTGCAAGGGTGACTTGGAGGAGGTCATGTGAAGAGGAGATGAAAGCGTGTGGACAGACTTGGAGCCTGGTGAAGACTCTAGCAGAGAACCGAACGCAATGGAGACGCACGGCTGAAGCCCTATGCTCCTCTAGGAATTAAAGGAAACAACAATAATAATAACAACAAGAATTGTGTAAATAACAATGCTAAACTTGAATACAAAAGTTTAGTATTCAGAAAAGTAAAAAATGCAATCCTAACACTGCTTACCTTATCACTAGCTGTTTCTGCTTGAAAAAGACGATTCGACGGGAATACTAACAATTTGAATGTATTAGGAGGAGGATTTTGCTGTCGGTCACCAGCAGTAGGAAAATTTGCAACAGCAAAATTATTTAGATCATATGTTGTCTGAAGACGATATGGATAAGATCTGGAGACAGAAAAGGAAATGATAAGAATTGCCTCAAAACTGTTAATAATAATATTAATAATTTGCTTTATTCCAAAACAGTACTTGTGATACAGAATGGAATTCTCAGCATTTTTTACTGCAGTATTACATCCAGTTAGTACATTATCAATGAATAGAATTCTACATAGATTAAGGAAATCTCAGTTCATTATGACAACATATTGGCATGTCGGTAGAAAAGCCAAAGTTGAAACAGTGTTTGAAGGTGTTAGAAAAGTGAGAGCTGTCATATTAACTGGCGTAAGCGAGAGAAAGAAACAAAGCAGTACATAACAGAAAAGAGGGAGAGAAAAGAAAAAGAAAGGAAGAAAAACGTTGTACCTATAAATGATGTGAGTTGGAAAGACGAGATCCAGTTGTTCTACTGACTATTTAATAAGTTATAGGTATCACGCCTAATGCTTTCTTTATCTCACAGAACACGAGCTAAGTAGGGTATGGTTGAGTTTTTGTACTTGCTAGTGCGAGCATATAGTTTCCTATATAGGCTTCTGGTTTTGCCTGATGAGATGCAAGGGGAGAGTTGTGAGTGAAGAGAGTGGTGTGAGTTAGATAAAATGGATTCGACCCATTTTTCACATGAGTCCATGTGCCTGTCAACCAGAATACTAACAAGCTGGTTAAGTGGCACGTTGCTTACCCTGCTGACAACCTTTAACATCCTGCGTAATATGTTATAATCTTTCTTCAGTAGACCGGGAAAAACTAAGGGGGAACAATAGAGAATAATAGGCAGAATGCGAGAGTTAACAAATTGTAGGAGTAAGAGCTGGGTTATACCAGAATGTCTTAACTTCTTGATGTAGAAGGTAAGACGGAATATTTTCTTAGAAATCGTCAAGATATGAGACGACCAGGAAAGATCATCAGATAGAATGACGCCTAGGTATTTAATTTCCGACTTGGTTTCTATTTCAGTGCCATCTATGTTGCACGCCTCGTGAGAGCTAACCAGTTTGATTAGGTCAGATTTATGCCTAAAGGTGAAATTGACTGTTAGGCATTTGGAGTGGTTTAAGGTAAGACCATTTTCCTTAAACCACTGGCTGATTTCTGATAGAAATCAGAAGATCAATATCAAAATCTCATAATACGCTTTATTTGGAAAAGTAAAAGACATATTCATGTACCTATTTTCAACTTTTATTCACAACCTTCTTACTACCTGTTGAACTTGTTCTACGCCTATGAAAGCTGAAATCCCCGTGTTCGAACTTTGCTCCCTTCGGAAAAGTGCCTGCACTCAGTGGTATTATTATTTAAGTCATTTTGAAGTGCAGCAACGTGTCTGTCAACCAGGTGGAGATCATCCTTCAATAAATGTTGTCGTTTTAGAGTATCAGCTTCGGTAGCTTGGATATGTACTAGGAATGTCATCGCAGCGGCTTGCTTCTATACCGGGATGGTCAACCCATGACGTGACATCATGGGAGTGCAGATAATTGTTTGAAGTTAGCCTCTGTTACACCAATAAGCAACATCCCGACCACGTGATTAAACCAGTGTGCATCAACCACAAGGGAAAACTACTGTCCGAATGAACAGAGTTCAAGTATTACGTATAGTTGAAATAATAGAGAAGATTTGTAGCTCAGGTGGATGGTTTGCAATTAACAGTGTTCTCTGAGCTGGTTGGTTTAGTTGCGAAGCTTTCGTCGTCCTTCTGGTCAATACATATGTAAAGATAGTTACCAGGAGACGCAATTACATCACTCATGAAGAAATTTAAATCATTTCACTTTGTGCTAACTATGGCGCTGAAGATGTTGTCCAGAAGGACGACGAAAGCTTCGCAACTAAACCAGCCAGCTCAGAGAACACTGTTAATTGCAAATTACGTATAGTTCTTTTATTGGACTAAGAGCTACGTCACTATCAAAATATCATATTATTCAGGCATATGCTTGTCAACAATGAAAAAAAAATTATTATATAACGATATTGATGTAATAGAGAAGAAAGAAAGAAAAAAACTTACAGACCAGATTGACTATGATATGCAATAACCAAGGTATCTGTGAGTACAAACACTCTAGCCATACATAGAAAAGAAAAATCATTCATACTTAATTCACGCAAATCTCCATCGAAGATAACACGACGACTTGAATCACCGACTAAAACCTAAAGAATAACAGAAAGAAAGACAGAATGTGTAATGTACGAATTACAAATGTATACTATTCATTTCCTTCTAGTTCAGGTGAAATATAGGGGGTTTCAGAGCAGTACATCCCCGTCGCACTCTGTCTGTCTGTCTAGATTCAACACAGAACTCGGCACCAAAGTGCAGCAATTCCAGTTGCCAAGTTCCAAATAGCGCACAAAGGTAGACGAGAAGATCAGTGAAGAGAATCAATAGAGTTTTGACAAGTATAAGGGTGTAACAGAATGAGTAATGGTAGAAAGCAACATGAAAGATTACAGAGACTGAATACATCTGAGTAAGCCACTGACAACGATTGCGAGCCATGTCACCTATTGTCTCCAGCCATTGATTCTTAGAGTCCCGACGGCGGGCCTCAACCCGGAAGTCTGCATCTCCCTACCTCACTCAGTTTAACTGTCAAGGATTTCATGGATTGATGAGGCCATGTTTTTGTTTGGCCACCACCACTTACTCTTTTCCAACCCACAACACCTATATCAGCTAGTAGTGCCTGTCCGTCGGGAGCAGGGAGGCGATGGCTAGGCATGCGCACCATGTCACCTAGCCATCTCAATCTGTGTAACTTTATAGCCTCGTCGATTGATTTTCCCTCTTTGCCCAACCAACACTCTACGCCTAACGTCAACATTAATTACTTTATTATACCACCTAACGTGAGAAAGAGATCGTAGACATCTATGATCAAAAACAGTCAACCTTGTCATGTCTTCAACTCGTATTGGCCATGTTTCAGAGCCATAGAGGACGGAGCGAACTGCTGAGCAGTACACACGTCCCTTGGTTGATAGCCGGATGTCACGCCTACGCCTTCGTCGCACTCAGTTTTCTGTCATCACTTTCACCAAGTTCCACGACTGTTCCATAAACTTTCACTTCATCGCCATATGACTTTCTCTATATCACCCTCAGAAGTTCAGTTTGTCACTTCCAAATTGAGTTTCACTCAACACCTAACGGCATGTGACGTCAGTTGAAAGTCTCCTCAGCGTATCTCCAATCCTTTTCAGATACCTTTTGCATATTTATTCGTCGGTTCTCTATCACAGTAACGAGTAACTTATTCCTTCCAAACACCTGATCTTCGATATAAACCAAACACCTCTGTTGGTGGTAGTCTACAGCCTATAAGAAATGGTCCTCATGACGCCAGCGCCAAGTCTCTGAGCACTATATGGAAGCAATAATTTGACATTAGTGTTAAAACTTCTGATTTTCAAGTATTGGTTTGTAGGGATTTGATTGATTCGCTAACTGGGTTCTAGTGGGAAGTCGTGACTAGTAGGGTGCAGCAGGTCGGGTGTGAAGACAAATACTCGCTAGCGATGACATTGGCTAGTTGTCGCGCTATGTCGTGAATCGGCAGAAGTTACAATTCATGGGCTGCCTGGCCATCGGATCGGGTCCCAGTGGCTGATGAATGGTCTACGAGCTCGCTAGCCTTGTAACCAGAAGGTCCTGGTTTCGAACCGTGGTGGTGGGTGCGTACTACTGATGAAGGGTCCCAAACTAGGACGAAACATCTGGCTGTCCAGTACTCCCAGCTGGTTTTCCAATGGTTCTCTAACCAATGTCAGCTCATGATGAAATCCTGTAACTTCTGATTTTGTTTTTTTGCGCTAGGTACTGGAGATCTTTATACCGATTTCGGAGTAATGAACGCTTTTCCCAATCTGGCTTTAATGCCTTCATCCATACTGTCTATAGTCGAAATGCTGCTGTCCAAGTAAGTGAAAGGGATGTTTGTTTTCGTGTGTTTAACCTCAGTTAACCTAAAAGCAGATTTCGCATGCACCCGGGCTAAAAGCTTCATTTGCCCAGGCTGATTTAGGTGGAGGAGTACTCGAACCCATGACCAATCGACTGATATCTCTATGTTGACTTAAAATCCTGTCTTCGGTGCCTCTTCACGAGTAGCACCACACGACGACCACATACGATCGATTTCGATATACAGCATATTGTGTATGAACGGACTACTTACAGTGTGATTATAGAAAATGAAGACCAACATAAAATTAAGGGCGAAATTTACATTTGAAATTCAAATCTCTGAAGATCAGAAGTATCAGTTACGCAAAGAGATCAAGAGGTACATAGAAGCACTAGAATGAAATAGTTCTACTTAACCACCTCTTAATGTGAACTTTAAACAAAATAGTTTATTAAGGTACAAAATCTGTAAGTATACAATTCCCACGAAAGGTTATTTCACACTATGTCCGTGTGTACAAAGTAAAGCCTAAAATTAGAATACCGATGATCACGAGAACACGAGAAAACCAGGCAGGTTTTAGGCCAGGAAGAGGGTGTATTGATCATACCTTCACTCTTCGACAGATTCTAGAACATAGGAATTCCTACCGGCGTCCAACAATCATTATATTTCTTGACCTAAAGGCAGCATTCGATTCTGTCGAGCGAGAGGTTCTCTGGCGATGCTTGGCTGTAAACGGAATGCCGAGAAAATACATTGCACTGATTAAGGCACTCTACTCCTACTCATGCAGCCAGGTGAGGGCTTACGACGAGATGTCACCTGAAGTGGTGACGACTAGTGGCGTCCGTCAAGGATGCCCATTATCCCCATTCCTATTCAATTTCATCATAGACGTACTCATGAACTTAACCCTAACTGACTTCAGAGACTCAGGGATTGACTTGCTACCAGGGAATAATCTCGTCGACTTAGAATATGCAGACGATATAGTCCTTCTAGGCGAGGACGCTGACAAAATGCAGAGTCTACTGAACACCTTGAGCAGCAATCTTCGTATGTTTGGCATGCGATTCGCCCCTGTAAAATGTAAGATGATGTTACAGGATTGGACTACACCGACTCCTAGATTAGAAATAGGAAGTGAAGTGGTAGAACACGTTGACCGCTTCACTTACTTGCGAAGTACCATCAGCCCCAACGGGTTGATCTCTGACGAAATCTCAACACGAATACAGAGGGCTAGTTTCGCATATACCAGTTTACGCCGTCTCTGGCGTAGACGTGATATCCGGCTATCGATCAAAGGGCGTGTGTACTGTTCAACAGTCCACTCCGTCCTCCTTTATGGCTGTGAGACATGGCCATTGAGAACGGAAGACATGAAAAGATTAACTGTCTTCGATCATAGGTGCGTACGTTCTATCTCCCGTGTGAAGTGGTATAATAAGGTGAGCAATATTGAGGTTAGGCGTCGAGTTCTAGGTAAGGAGGGGAAATCAATCAACGAGGCTGTGAAGCTACATCGACTGAGATGGTTAGGACATGTGTTACGCTGGATGCCTAGCCATCGCCTTCCTCAACTGACGGGCAATGTTAGCTGATATAAGGCCAGGCTGGAAAAGAGCTAGCGGCGGTCAAACGAAAACATGGCACCAGTCAATGAAATCTACAACAGTTAGTCTAGGCCACGTAGGAAGGTGTAAACTTCCTGACTTGTTGGGGTCCTCGGGACGGTAAAAACCAATCGTTGGAAACAATTGGTGACATGGCTCAAAATCTTTCTCAATGGCAGGTGCAGATGCATCCACTCCTTGTGACTTATGATTTCCAATGAAACTGTTTTGTTCTTCGTTATTACTATTCCTTTGTCTCACACCTCTGTTTACTGTCTATATTATGCATTTCTTCTACTTTCTTCTCTTGCTTTGTGTGCTGAGTGAAGTATGGCGACTTGAACTGCCGCACATATGTGCAAAGTTCTATGTCGAAAACAGACAGACAGATGATCACTCAGACTATAAAGGAACACAGACTTAAGTAGTATGATTATGACATAATTTTAGATGAATTGAAGGAGAGTAAGAATCGTATTTCCTTTTTGAGTATACAAGTGAACTGATGATGACACTTATGAAGTAATAGTTATGGTAAGCTGACTCTGAGATATGCAATGTAAAATAACCGGTGTAAAAAAAGGGAGTTGATAAATGTAGTTATTCATACTTGCTAAATAGCCGTAAATAATTAGCTTATTGGCTTCAGCACTCTACTTTCAGCCAATAAGATCACGGGTTTGAACCCGATCCCACCTATTTTAGTTTCGTAAACAGGGTAGTATAATCACTCTTCAGATAATAAGTATGGTTCATAGCCCATTATGTGAAAAATCTGTTCCGAGGATTATTATTATTATTATTATTGCTCCCTTAGGTCCAGAGTGGAACATAGAGCTTCAACGGCATATCTCCCCTTTGTCCTGTTGTTTGCGGTCTTCTTCAGCCGAGCCCATGGTTACTCATGGTATCTCATCTCTCCCTCACACACCGAGGGACTGGCGTCTGATGTCACTAAACGGTCTCCCCAGAGAGTGTCCGATCCCACTTCACCTTCCTCTTATATATTTGTTGAGCAATAAGGTTCTTGGCCAGTTTATTCCCACACTTTCTTGCTGCTAATTCTTTCTGACCGGCCAGCCATTTGATCTTTAGTATAGAGCAAGAGAAGGCACCTGTGGATAAAAGTCCGTAGTAGCCTGTTGGAAATGCTTTTCGTGACACGTAGTGCAAGTTTCTGACCCATACAGTAGAAGTGACTGACTGATCTAACATCGGTATTGAAAATCCGAATCTTGTTCTGTATACAGGCTGAGTGCAGAAGACTTCCAAACTGATTTTAGAGTGATGGAGGTGTATTTCGCCTTTCCGATTCTGGTTTTCACATCCTCATTTGTGTAGCTGGCTGTAGTTGAAAGGATGCTTCCTAGGTAAGTGAAGGAGGTGACCTCTTTCAAATTTATTCCGTTGATAGTGACTGCTGCTTGTCGTTATTGTTGGTTGGTTGGTTAACTCCGTCTTCCCTATGTCGTGTCTTTGCTACTTTGTTTATTAACAACTTATTAGCTCTCACTTGTAGATCTTCGACTGTGTGTGACATTAGACATAAATCGTCCGTAAAACCCAGGTCTTCCAGAGTCCTCTTATCAGTCCAATGTACTCCGATCTTCTTTCTCCCAATAAGTCTGATGCATAATCCAGTCTACCGTGTTATCCAAGGAACCAAGCTCTAATGGAATAATTTCATAGGAATTTATGTGCTATAACAGCTGCATATATATCACCCAACTGATACATGCGGGTGAACAGACCAATATACCCCCCCCCCGGTATTGAATTGCTGCCAGTCAAATAGCTACGATTCATAAAAATTCAGGCAAAGAGGGGAAACATAAAAAGGAGTTATTAATACCAACAACAACAAAAAAGGTCAAGAAAACAGGGAAACAAAATAATTGAAATCCATTGTTATTTTTCTTTGAGTGGAACAACTAACAGTGGAACCAACAACAACAACAACAAGCAGCAGTCACTATCAGCGGGAGAAATCTTAAGGAAGTCACCTTTTTTCACCTATCTAGGCAGCATCGTTTCAACTAGAAGCAGCAAGGATGAGGATATCAAAGCTAGGCAGGATCGAAATAGCAAGGCAGGACTTCATTACTCTGAAATCAATGTAGAAATCTTCTGTGCTTAAAGCAAGGAACGAGACCGACATCCTTAACACTAATGTCAAACCAGTGCATCTATATACGGTTCAGAGACTTGACCCACAACGTCACTAAAAGCATTACCAATAGGCTACAAACTTAAATCGATATCTGCCTTCACTTAATACTGAAGAACTGATGTCCAGAAAGCAGCCGAATGGGCAACAAGGAACTCTGGCAACAAAACAGAAAAATTCAGGAAAAGATGGCGACGGACTGGGCATACGCCGAGGAGACCATGGAGTGACATGACACGGTCAAGCCCTCAAGTGGGACCCGAACGGACGTGGCTCCAAAAGTGACATTGAGGTGACCGCGTGTGAGGAGGAGATAAAAGTTTATGGTTATTCATGGAGCCAGATAAAAAAAATTACTGAAGAGAAAAGAGGTAAATATAAATGCGATGTTGAAGCCCCCCAATGTCCCTATCGAAACTCAAGGGAGTAATAATAAAAATAATAAATATCGGAATTCACGATGTGTGTTTCTCACTATTTGGATCTCGTTAGCTGGATGTATCTGCATCCTAGTGGGTGATGGTATTCCCATCTGGATTCTACTACAAGATGCTGCCGACCAATTGATATATACTTCATCTCAAGGTACCATCAAGATGTCCATGCTAGGCGCCGATATATGTGTGGTGAGAGCTGTCTGCAAGCCAAAATCGGTAGACAACAATTGACGTCAATGTTTACTTCCGAAATCGGGGTCATGAGAAAAAACAAGAACAAAACTCAACCTTGAGGAACTCAACAGCCAATCACACCAGACAGATATATATATAAACGGACTGTCTAAGAAACGGCAACAAAGAGATGACAAAATAACCTTCCGCAAGAAAACAACCAATCAGAAGAGGTTGCTTCTCTGCTAACAATAACGCTAATAATAATGCACATAAAAATCTATAAATATTTGTTGATTTTCTCAATAAACGATGTGTTTCCTGACCCTTGTCTTCTGTCGTTACATATGAGTAGAAACCGAGCATTCCGTTTCAATCAACAGAAAATTCAAAATAATAATTTCAACAAATAATAATTATAATTTAGAAATGATGAAAGAGATTTTCAGCTGAAGTAGATGTGCTCCCTGAGCTGGATAATTCATTTTGCGAACTTTTCATAGTCTTCCTAGATCACATCTTCAGTGCAAACTTTAATATTAACTTATACAGTCATCAGTAAAAATACGCATATAAATTCAAATCCCCCCCCCAAAAAAAACTTACTGAAGCACCCTCAACTAGTTCCGCTAAACGACTGACTGAAATACCAGCATATTCACTGCGTAATACATTTCCAGACTTTTCATCATCTTGTACATCAGAGGCAGCACGATCTGAACATGTATCTGTGATGATATCTTGTTATTCAAAGAGAAGAAGAAGAAGGAGAAAGAAGAGAAAATTAGGCAAATAAGTCAACAGGTTGCACAAGACTTGATGAAAAGTCTAAAGGTAACACAGTGTATTATTTTTAATTGAATTTAGATTTTCCCGCTGATTGATTCGACTGAAATATGTTCAGACTCTGTTGACATGTTGACTGCTGCGGCGGACACTTTAACGATTTCTGAGGACTAACTTGAAGTCCCAAATAGGATGAAATACGCATCCTAGATTCCACTGTTAGTTACCAGCCAACAAAAACTACTTCAAGTAAGACTATACTTATTATTCGGCCATTCTGCCTGAAGATTCGAACCCGGACCCATTCCCTAACTGAGATCCCTTTCAACATTTGACTAGTGATACCCTCTCAGTAGCATGATAAATAATGAGAAAATGTCTATAAAGACATCAAAGTGTGTATGTAAACAGTAAGTACACTACAAGCTCTTCAGCTGCATATTACATAGCGTTGCTAGAAATCAGGTACCTGGCAAACTTGTTTCAAGTACTAGTGCTAACTGTAGTAGAGAAGCAAGATGAGGAAAGTGATGTGAGTAAGGGAGAGTGATGCTCAGGAAGGCTTCGTGTGCTTTTGGAAGTGTATAGGCGGTTGTAACTTCCTGGCTGCCCACACCGTGGAAGTTGATTGATTCTTCGGGAACCTGAAACAGAAAGAGTGTTGCGTGACCGCAGAGCCCAGGGGACAACTGCTTGAGGCCAGCCGGTCACACATGGCCTGTTTTTAGTTGTTCTTTTTTGTTTGGTGTGTCTCGGTAGCATATTTATCACTTCTGCCCTGTGACACGGCAGCAGGAAGCGCGATCGTTGTTGATCCGGGCCTCAACCAATCCGGCATGATATTTTGTGAATTTGTTTGAATCATAGTATTGGATTGGGTAGCTGCTTTCTGTCTAAACGCTATCCAAACAACCTTTCTGGCATGGTAGGACCTACAGGAACGTAAGTTCCAGCCAGTGTAGCTCGTTGGGTCATTGCGATATGCAAGCACGACCACCACGTCGAGGTAGTAGCTATCGGTCGGGTACTAGGCGAAGAGTCAAATTAACTTTAGTTTTTTTGGCCTCGTTCTAGTTCTCAATAGTCTACTTCAATCCCTTTTCTCATTTTCAGCGATGAAAAATCATTTCATTCCGTTTCTATCTATACATATCATGATCACACCTTTTTCCTCCGAAAAAAAATCCTTTACATATTATGCAGCCATATTTCCAAACTTCTACTTTTTCTGGTTTCTATACCTCTTTATAATTAATTTTCATCAAAATTCCCATATGCGAATTTTCACATCATTTTTAGAAGAATCATTATTATCGACATTTATTCCCACCTTTTTCACTATGTCTAATAAGGAGGAAAAAAAAGGAATTCTTCTAATTAAGATACACTTTGTAGAACAAAAATTTCAGTTGTACAGATATTGATTTATGAAACAGTGTTTTAGCATACTTTTAGCATGTTGATGACAAGTTATTGATAGGAACTAAAAGTAATATAGGCCCGAAATGATGTAAGTTAGTTAATTCATTCAGTATTATTTAAAAGGCTTGATTATTTATGAGACAAATATTCTAGAAGAGAAAGAAAAGTTCACCTGTTGCTGTGGATCCAGCCAGGTACATCGGTCGTACATCGACGCGCATCCTGTCAAAAAGGGTCAAAGAACACTATCCAGCATTGCTGCAGAAAGGAAGTAGTAACCGTATAAGGAGTGGAATAATCGAACATCTCTTCACCACTGGTCATTCCATCTCAGCGAACGCCTCCTCCTTCAAAGTAATCTACAAAGTGAAGAACAACCTACCGCTTTCTTTGCATTGCAGAAGCCTTAGCCGTTCAGCTAAAAGAACCAGAACTATGCATACTAAAGTAAATTATTCAACCACTTCTATTATCATGATAACAACTCTATTGATTTGACTTAACTTTTGCTTGTTTTTTGTAACTACTTAAAAGTCTTATGTAATTCCGTATTTTATTTTCTTTCCATGTACACTCTGAGCACAACTCTTTCATCAAACTATTCATGTTACTACGTAACTCTTCTTTAAAAGCATCCTATAACAACATTCAATTCCTCTGAACGCTTTTTGTATTACGCAACTCCACCAAAAACTTACTAATTGAATGTTCATTTGACAAATTTAATGTACACACACATACAAAATAACCATATAAATTTACGATTGTACAGCTGTGAAAAGAGACTCTTCGCTGAACTACTGGTCTTCTCTCTATTAAAAATGGAAGGACTCAACAGGTAGATAGAAACAAAGCTGACCAGTAATAATAATGTGTCACTAAAACAGAGAGCATAACTACAAAAATACTTCAGAAGTATCAAGAAGACTAAGGTGGGAGACTTCCAGATGAGAAAGTAAAATTCTATGAAAAAAAACAGAAGGCAGAGAGGAATAAGTGCAGCAATATAACTGCATAATCATCAAGATAATGCAAGGTTGACCACCTTCTCTCTCTGTGTGTGAACAGATTTGGTTTCAGTTTCTATGATATCAGATAGTTGAAGGCAATCGGCCACAGGGAGCCCTCCTTGGACCTAGGTTTCGTGCTAGTTGGCACTCACCAGTCAGCAAGGCGGCGTATCTGCAACCCTGAAGGAATTCATGTCCCTTCTGAGATTCGAACCCACGTCACCCAGTGCTACCTGCAGTCAGAGACGTTACCACTGAGCTATTCGGGCTCGCGATTGACCTCCTGTAGGACTGTAGTGGGTATTTTCATTGGATACTAGTAACTAGTATGACTTGTCTAGTCCTTCCTTTCGTGCAGACTGAATTCTATCAATCAGGTTGTAATGTGGCCACCATTCTAGGTCAAGCAGTGCTTCCCGCCGATTTTTTTTCCCTTCACGTTCCCCAGTGGAACATAGGTCTTCAAGCTAGTGGCTTGAAGTTTCTGTAGCAGTGTTTATTTTACAGGATGAGGTTTCTGGCTTCATGTCCAACCTTTCCTCTTTACCAGCATTATTTCTGGCTCAGCGAGGTAAAGGAACGCGTCGGCCGGGGGTCGAAACCCGAACCATGTGCATGGTCGGCGAGCATGCTAGCCGCTATACCACCGACGCAACTTCCTGCCGATCACCTCGAACTATTTAATATCCTCAAATCAATGTGCACCGTGTGGCGAGCTACCTAGAATGGTGGCCACATTGCAAACCTGACCGACAAAATTCGGTCTGCACCAAAGGAACGACTAGACAATTCACACTAGTTACTAGTATGTAATCAAAATCCGACTTGCATCCACCTCTTGATAAATTTGAATACCTTTTAAACTATCTACAATGTAGAAAAGAAAAGGCGTTCAGCAAAGAGTTACTCTTTTCGGCGATATCATTCTCAAGCTGTACAAACCGCAAATTTATAGTAATTTTTCTTGGCAACAAAAGGAATATTTCCAAAGATGTGTTAATGCAATTGTTAATTTTTTTACAACAAATTACGTAATTTAGAAGGCGTTAATCGGTTAGAAACTGAAATAAAGTTACAAAAGTAGGTTGGGCGACGTAATCTAGTTGATAAGGTTGAATGAAAAATAAATGAGAGTCAAGTTAATAATATGAGTAGAATTCACCTGAAAATGAATGAGAGTTAAGTTAATAATCTGAGTAGAATTCACTTAGAAATAAACGAAAATGGAGTTAGCGACAGTCGTCATGAGGGTAGAGATTTAATAGAGGGTGGGGATAGAATATAATGCAATTAAGAAACAGACAAACAAAGAAGAAAGAGGTAAGACAAAATTACGTATTTGGTGTTAAGATAAATCAGGACCATTGTAGATTTAGTGACTGAACAAACTTCTTTTGTATGCAGAGTTCAGGATTCAATATGTGAATTGCCATTGCTTCTGCAGTTTGAAGAAGTTTAATTCGTACTCTTTTGGCAAGATTCCCACGTATTGTGTAGATAACTGAGAAGTTGTTTTGTGGGTTTGCTTGGTGTCCGGATTCGATCAAGTGTTCTAGGATAGAGATGTGGCGGGGGGATCTTCTTTCTCCTTTATAAAACCATGAAGGTAAGTGTTCGCTGATTCGTTTGGATAGCAAACGCTGGGTACGGCCGACATACCTAGCTCCACATGAGCAGGTGAATTGGTAGATGCACATTGATGTTCACCATGTTCTCACTAGATGTGGTATCACTGTTTACAAACGTCCCACTAACCGAAACAATATACTATATATGTGAATACATAGATTCAAAGGAGATGAACATTGGTATACCCACTGACTATTTGAAGGAACTCCTATTAAGATGTACTCTAAACGTCCAATTCACTTTCAATAATGAAATATATAGACAAAAAGATGGTATAGCTATGGGCTCACCACTCGGCCCGCTGCTTGCAGATATTTTCATGTCAAAACTAGAAAATACACACCTAAAGAAAATAATAGATAACTTCGGGTTCTACAAGAGATACGTGGACGATACTTTTATTATCGCCAATAATGAGGAAAATTCGGAGAACATATTGAACTTCTTCAACAGTTGCCATCCAGCAATCCAGTTCACACTAGAGAAGGAGTCCAACGCAACAATATCTTTTCTGGACGTGCAACTAGCAAGACACGAACAAGATGGGACACTCAAAAGATCCATTCATAGAAAACCGACATGGAATGGACAACTCATCAGCTTTCACAGTTGAGTGCCTCTATATACAAAACGAAATCTAATCCTCTCACTGACTCACAGAATCCACAACATTTGCAGTCCGGAAACTATGGAAGAGGAGCTGAAGACCCTGAAAAGAATCCTCCTTGAAAATGGTTACCCGGAACGTTTCATCACAAAAGCTATGAAGCCCAAAACACAAAAACCGTCCATGCTTACTGCTCCCAAGAAACTTCTCTATTTGAGTCTACAATTCAACGGAGATTCTTCAGCAGAAATACTGAGAAACCGCCTGTGCCATTCACAGAAGAAAACCTTCTTCGCAGCTGAACTCAGGCTAACTTTCTCTACGAAACCAATGATTCGCACGAACGTGAAGGATAAGCTTCCACTGGGGGCCTCATCAATGTGCATCTACCAATTCACCTGCTCATGTGGAGCTAGGTATGTCGGCCGTACCCAGCGTTTGCTATCCAAACGAATCAGCGAACACTTACCTTCATGGTTTTATAAAGGAGAAAGAAGATCCCCCCGCCACATCTCTATCCTAGAACACTTGATCGAATCCGGACACCAAGCAAACCCACAAAACAACTTCTCAGTTATCTACACAATACGTGGGAATCTTGCCAAAAGAGTACGAATTAAACTTCTTCAAACTGCAGAAGCAATGGCAATTCACATATTGAATCCTGAACTCTGCATACAAAAGAAGTTTGTTCAGTCACTAAATCTACAATGGTCCTGATTTATCTTAACACCAAATACGTAATTTTGTCTTACCTCTTTCTTCTTTGTTTGTCTGTTTCTTAATTGCATTATATTCTATCCCCACCCTCTATTAAATCTCTACCCTCATGACGACTGTCGCTAACTCCATTTTCGTTTATTTCTAAGTGAATTCTACTCAGATTATTAACTTAACTCTCATTCATTTTCAGGTGAATTCTACTCATATTATTAACTTGACTCTCATTTATTTTTCATTCAACCTTATCAACTAGATTACGTCGCCCAACCTACTTTTGTAACTTTATTTTAGTTTCTAACCGATTAACGCCTTCTAAATTACGTAATTTGTTGTAAAAAAATTAACAATTGCATTAACACATCTTTGGAAATATTCCTTTTGTTGCCAAGAAAAATTACTATAAATTTGCGGTTTGTACAGCTTGAGAATGATATCGCCGAAAAGAGTAACTCTTTGCTGAACACCTTTTGTTTTCTATGGCTGAATGGGAATTGTCAAATTATCTACAAGATTACTAGTGTACATTAGATGGCAATTAGTCTCACTGTCTGTTACTTGTGAACCTTTTAGTCTCAGGTTCTTTGTGATGTGTTCAAATTCAAACAACGACCCATCTTATTGTTCTCCCAATGTGTATGTGCTTTGGCATGTACAATTAAGTTCAAAGATACATTTTCAAGTAACATGAAGTAGGAAGTTGTCCATTTTTGATGGTCTTAAACAAATGTGTGATATACACACATGCAAGCTTGCCGACTGGATATGCTCTTTTCAGTGCAGTGTTTAGTTTTCACTTTATTCTATCACAAATAATATTACCCTTAAAGGTCTTTTATTGCCTTGTAGGTTATATTTTCTTTTAAACAAAATTTTGCGATCGCATTGCGTCATTTGTTGTTCTATATCTCCTGTTCTGTTTCACAAGACTTTGTTTTCTTATCTGAACATCTCCTCCCTTGCTATTGTAAAATATTTTTTCTAGTGACCCAACCTGTTACAGTGATATACTATTTAGGGTTAAGCTCTGGTCCAATTTACATTTTAACCCCCCTCCGGCCACCTTTCTTCCTCTCTAGAACATTTGTATATGGGGACGTGATTTATTGACTTCAGCATTTGAGTTCCTTTCAGTGGGTCCACCCACTTTAGCCTAGATAACTCTAGGCAGTGTCATTAATCCTCACACAGCTAGTGTGGCTCAAAGACCGTTACTGGGTAACTGAGTCCTAGCAAACTAAATAACTAACTATCCAGAGTATTTCTCTAATTATCGCATAAACGGTCAAGTCTATTATCCCCATTCCTATTCAACTTCATCACAGACGTACTAATGGACTTAACTGTAACGCACTTCAGCGACTCAGGGATTGACTTGTTACCAGGGAATAATCTCGTCGACTTAGAATATGCGGACGATATAGTCCTTCTAGGTGGGGACGCTGACAAAATGCAGAGTCTACTGAACACCTTGAGCAACAATCTTCGTATGTTTGGCATGCGATTCGCCCCTGCAGTCAGATGCAAGATGATGTTACAGGATTGGACTACACCGACCCCTAGATTAGAAATAGGAAGTGAAGTGGTAGAGCACGTTAACCGCTTCACTTACTTGGGAAGTACCATCAGCCTCAACGGGTTGATCTCTGACGAAATCCCAGCACGAATACAGAGGGCTAGTTTCGCATATGCCAGTTTACGCCGTCTCTGGCGTAGACGTGATATCCGACTATCGACCAAAGGGCGTGTGTACTGCTCAACAGTCCACTCCCTCCTCCTTTAAGGCTGTGAGACATGGCCATTGAGAACGGAAGACATGAAAAGATTAGCTGTCTTCGATCATAGGTGTCTGCGTTCTATCTCCTGTGTGAAGTGGTATGATAAGGTGAGCAATACTGAGGTTAGGCAACAGTCGAGTGCTAGGTAAGGAGGGGAAATCAGTCGACGAGACTGTGAAATTCCATCGACTGAGATGGTTAGAACATGTGTTACGTATGCCTAGTCATCGCCTTCCTCGACTGACGGGCAATGTTAGCTGATATAAGGCCAGACTGGAAAAGAGCTAGCGGCGGTCAAACAAGAACATGGCACCAGTCAATGAAATCCACAACAGTTAGTCTAAGTCACGTAGGAAGATGTAGACTTCCTGGTTGGGGTCCACGGGACGGTAAAAACCAATGGTTGGAAACAATTGGTGACATGGCTCAAACTCCTCGTTCTCAGTGGCGCAGATGCATCCACTCATTGTGACTTACGATTTCCAATAAAACTGTTTTGTTCTTCGTTATTACTATTCCTTTGTCTCACACCTCTGTTTACTGTCTATATTATTATGCATTTCTCCTACTTTCTTCTCTTTCTTTGTGTGCTACATGGAGTGTGGCGACTTGAACTGCCGCACATATGTGCAAAGTTCTATGTCGAAACCGACTGACCTATTAATACTTGATAACGTAACTACATATATATATATATATATCACTGAGGATTTATGTTACTTTTATTTCCTATCAATAACTCGTCATCAACGTGATAAAAGTATGTCCAAACCCCGTATTTTAACTTATATATTTTGGTAATATTCAGGTTGTTAACAGTGGGAAATATTCCATAAGAGAGTGAAAATGAGCTCATATTATATAAAGCCACATTAGTTGTTGTCGCTTTGTTCAAGTATTGGAGGAAAATCGCTGAAAAGGCATTCTCTGTTTAAGGTGTCTTCATTCGAAACACGGAATGACTACGTCCATTACCTTAATTATTTTGATTATAGCTTGAAACCACACAGTATTTTAGGTACAAGTATGGAATTTTCAGCATTTGATATCGGTAGACCAAATTTCGCAGGCCGACCATTGATATCAGGTGTGCGCCGTCAGGGATCGAATCCCAGACCATGTGCATGATCGACGAGCGTCCTAACCGCTGTGCCACCGACGCTGCCTGAAATTCGGTTAGTGAAGAGAGAGAGATTGGAGGTCGTAACTCAACAGCTGGATGCCGAACACCTAGGCCTAATAATGTCAGACATTTCACGTAACTATAATCTGCAGTGAGTCGACCGGGGATCGAACCCCGGACCATGTGCATGGTCGGCGAGAGCCCTAACCGCTGTACCACCGAAGCACATATATATATATATATATATATAACCAAGAAACATGTTCTATGCAATCAGTCTAATTTGGGCAACAAATAAATATACAATACCAGAATAAATAACACAAATTAATTATCTTACCACCAAATAAGGATACCTCGGTAAGAGCATTTATTACCCGCTGCTTTTCAGTAAATTCATTATGTATTTGATGCATTGTATTTTCTAACTGGCTAGCAGCTTTACCAGCTTTAATGAATAATTTGTAATTTTCGAATACTGCACGTTTCATCTTGCTGGACGCATCAGTCGACATGATGTTAAGCTTATCAAGCATACTGATAGTAGCTGCATCTCCATCTTTGAATACATTCTTAGCAACTAAAAAATAAAGATTATAAAAATCAAATCAAATTTACAAAATATAAAGGAATAAAACATCTTATTTTTTTTTTATAAAAGTAAAATTTTGGGTATGACGATATCTTACTGATAATCAATTGAGAAACTGTAGGAGATCTTTAAAATCAATATGTGGGAGTTCACGTAGTTTTTTGTTAAAAAGTGTATACATATGCAACATAGTAGTAGATTTTAGATCATACCAACCAGAGTTTTAGATGACTCATTGCTGGCATCTTGGAAAATTTAGCCCTATAGGAAGTAATTATCATATAAATTCATTCTAAGAGAAATAAACACACACTGAGCATGTGGACTGACTGACATCTAGATATATCAACCCCAGCCTGTGTAATGGGACTAGAATGATAATTTACTGAGATGTATAAGTGGCCAAAACACCAAGGATAGGTAAATAACCGAAACCAGTTAATTCACCAGATTATGGGTAAAATACTCGTGGACAAACGCACTGAAAGGGGTGATTATATAGATTATGAGTTTTCATTCGGAATGGAGTGTTGCAAACCAGCTAGCGTATTTTCATGCGCCCTACAATGAGCCTCGCCCATTGAGTGAAGGCTAGTGATATTGTATTTCTTTATTATATTTGATGATAGCTTGGTGCCACACCATACTTTTGGTACAATTATGAAATTTTCAGCATACGATATCGGTAGCCCAAATTTTACAGGCCGACCATTGATATCAGGTGTGTGTCGTCAAGGGATCGAACCCCGGACCATTTGCATGGTAGACGAGCGTCCTAACCGCTGTGCCACCGACGCTGCCTGAAATTCGGTTAGTGGATAGAGATTGGAGACCGTAACTCAACAGCTAGATGTCGATCACCTAGGCCTAATAATGTCAGATATTTCACGTAACCATATTCGGCAGTGAGTACAATGCGAATCCCCTAACTCAAAGGGTAGTACTCCAGTGTGTGACTGCATAATAAACTAAATTAAAAAAACGTCTAGATGAAATGCAACAACAAGTAGAAAAAGAATGTGTTGGTAGTATAACAGACATTATTTTTTTTACTTCTAAAAGTTGCCCTGAGAAGTTAATATTAAGACTAGCTCTACGGTCAGTACTAGTATCAGTATTAGATGTTTAAATAATATGAATGAAACTTAGGATGCTATCCTCAAACCTCACATAAACCACTTTGTTTTAAAGTTAAAGGGGCATAACCAGAGACAAGCTCTTCCAAAATTCGACCCTCAAGAACCAATCAGATAAAGGGGATGACATGAAAGGTCAGTCCAAATAAAATCATACCTGCATTTCTAGACTTGAATTAGGCAGACATAGTATTCCATTTGTTTTCTAGCTACTTTTCCTGTAAACCTACACCAATAGGTAGGGATACGACTTTTTAGATTTAGGTTTGGGGTTAAATTTAGGATCAGAAGTTAGGATTATGGTTAGAGTTAGAAATAGGTTGAAGGATAGTGTCAGAAATATCAATGGATCTCAAAGTACCATGACCTATAGTCACCTAGATGAATGGGTATATCGCTCATTATACAGTTTCTCTATAGATCATCTGTGTATTGACTGAGACATTCTTCAAACATATAAGCGACAATTATATAGTGTAACATCGTCTTTGCAATATTTTTAGCGTATTTTGCACCATTAAGCGACTCTTTCTATATGAATTCTAATTGTTCGTTCAAGATGACAGTATTTTTGGCTATGATGGATTGACTTCGCCCATGCCTTTTGTAAACGCCCAAGACTCTTTAATTCACTGGAAAAAGCATGGTACTTCATGCATTACCTGAAGCGCTTACAGCGTGCCTAAAGTTTATTTTACAGGTTCTGCAGTGTGTCCGAAAATGTTTCCTTACTCACTGCAGGGAATCTAAAGCAATTACTTGCTGCGTTAGGTGACTCTTCGACATACATAGTGAATCATTGCTTGTGAATGAAAATTTCTGTATAATCAAGCAGCAAGGTATTTGTCTTACATTTTTCACTATTAAATGTAGACTTTGCGAAAACCCTGCGTAATCCCCCAATATCCGAAACCTCAGTTTCAGTTGCGTTCCGCATCTGTTTCATTTGCGCTGACATTTACGACCCTGAACTTTATGTACTACATTCAAGTTAGTGTAAATCAACGAACCCCAACTAAAATTCATTTACCTGTCTATGACACCTTTTCACACATTATTCTTACCCTTTACTTCTCATCAGTCACAGTCATAAATGAGGGCCGAGAAAATTTACTGACAGCGACAAATGCCACAAGCCCGATTATAATAATCCAATCAAGTACATCTGTTCTTCCAATATGGACAAATACGCCAAATAATTTCTGCTACCCTGACACTGCTGACTATGTCGCGCGAAAGCCACGCAAACCAACAGGAAAAAGCCGCACCAGAACAAAAAAGACCGGAATCTGAGAGATTCCTAGTGATAAATCAGATCAGTGTCAGACATGAGATCGAGATACCGTCAAAAGTGGAACAAATTTCGAACGTAAATGTGTTGAATTCACGTAGCCCTAATTGGCTGAAACCTCCATATAACGTCGGCGACTATTTCACATGAACATTAGCCTTTGACCTAGTGGCTGTTTTTCGATGTATCTCACTAAACACATGAGATACTCTCCATTCCCGCAACCTGCCTTGATGACGTCATCAGTGCTGTATTATCATAGATTACGAAGTATGTATATATATACACAAATACATATATCAATTTCAAATTTCATTAACCGCCTGTTTTGTTCTATTTATTTATTTTTATTTTTATTTAGTCAACATAACCTACACTAATCATATCTGTTATTATATCTTTTTCTGTCTACGACACCAAGCGATTAACGGGTAAAAGAATCAACTCTACTAACAATAGCAACATGGTTTTAACACACCCATGTAGTGTACCCAATAATAAAACTGATTATTCACTAAAAGCAATAGATACTTACTCGACATACATAGGTGTACATGGTACCCAAACTAGTTAAACACAGGATTGTTATGTCACACGGAAACAGCGGATGCCAATACACACTTGAGCCTGATTCACGAGCTTAAATGCTCCAAACACTACTTCAAATCTCAACTCTACTTAATAATTATTAATACAAGATCTATCCTTAACAAACTACCGATGCTCAGGGCACACACGCTGGTATACAAACCCCCAATAATTATTACTGAATCCTGGTGTCACTCCAATATGCTAGACGAAGAGATAAGCATCGATGGGTACACACACTTTCGATGTGACAGGAACAGTGATAAGGGAGGAGGCTGCCTAATGTACTTCCTGAACACACTGTATTACAGCTATAAAATAGGGGACTCAATGACATGCACGACACCCTATGGGTCAACGTACACTTCAAAAGTGCTACACTACTAATAGGATGTATCTACAGAGCACCTGGCACCTTTAGTGATTACGAGATACAACTTATAAACGTACTAGAGCAAGTATCCACCCTGCCATATGGGCATAAGGTCATTTGTGGAGACTTCAATCTACGCGAAATCAACCGGGATTTATTAACAGGCCCAACTAAATATGACAAGCTCTTAGGTACACTGAACATTTTCGGCTGGAAACAAACTGTCACTATCCCTACAAGAGGTGACAACGTACTGGACTTAATATTCTGTCACGATAGAAGTCCCCTCTCAATCTTAGTGGGTTCTAGGTCTTAAGGTAGTAACCACAAAACAGTGATGTGTGCACTGCCACCTACACTGGGTAGAAATGCAGCTCATACCTCCATTTCACAGCAAGTAATATATGGGAACTGTAGTAAGGCAAACTGGGCCTTCGTAGAATCAATGCTAAGATCCTCCGAATCGGGTGAATACTTCACTACTGATGACCTCTCGAGAGCTCTGAGTATCTTCTACCATAACTCAAACATATGCTTAGATGCTGTCATTCCACTGCAAACACTAAAGGTTTCCCGCATAGAAAGTCATCTGTAAAACCAAAGGATCTTACGAAACAGAAGAGACTCTCAACAAGTTACTTCAAACACCACGACTTTGGCACACTAGGTTTAATACTTAACACCCTTAGCTCCATCTCATAAGCTTGAGATTTCCGTATGAGAAACGAAGAATGCATCGCAGTAGCCAGTCCTGCTAGAGTGTATGCACTCACAGAAATCCTAAAGAAGCGAATGAACCGCAAAATTCAAAACATTTCTCTCCTCATAGACAAAGGTGGGCATTGCACTAATTCTGCAGACATGTGTGAATTGTTTAACAAAACTTTTGCAGGTAACTACCTTAAGCTCACAGTCCAGTGACTCGATATACACCCTGCTACTAATATGGCATGAGCTACATCTCTACTCACACCAAAATAAACTGGTACTGTTGAATTCATCTGTGCTAATATTAACCAAACAATTAGAACCCTCAAAAGCTCAAAAGGTTTTGGTACCAACAGTATATCATCCTATTTTTGAAAATATGGTGTCCCTGACATTCCCTTACTACTGCTTAAAATATTCACAATGTCCTTAGAAACCCAAACGTACCCTGATATATTGAAAACAACACTTATTATGCCTAAACACAAATCTGGCTCGAAAACAGGAGTCAGTAACTACAGGCCAATCAATATCACACCTATCGCATCTAGAATTATGGATAAAGATAACCTAATCAAGTTTATGCTTAGCTGCAACACTATAAGTCCGAACCAACCTGGATTCCTAAAATCCAGATCTTGTTTAACATGCCACTTAGACTTCTTTAACTTTGTGACCAGCAGTCGTGACAGACGACAACTAGTACTTGTCATCTACTTTGACATCTCAAAGGCGTTTGACCGTTTCGACCATTTTCTACTAATACATAAGCTGAAATCCTTAGGAATACGTGACCCATTATTAGGATGGCTTAAATCATTCCTTAACAACAGGTCCCGAATAGTTAAACTCGTGTCTGTGACTTCCAAACATAGCCCAATCACTTCTGGAGTAGTACAAGGTAGTGCCATTTGGCCACTCCTATTTACACTATATATCAGCGACATATGCGCCTGCTTCTCACATGCGAAACCATTCATCTTTGCAGATGACCTAAAAGTAGCCTATGCATTCCAATGTGATGACCTAGGGTGCTTTGAGAGTGTTGAGCAGAAAGAATTAGATAAAGTGACTGCTTGGTCGTCTTTATGGAATCTACAGTTTAACCTGAACATATGTGGCTGGATCTGCTTCGGTGCACCCTCAATCGACATGAAATTGACGCTTCAATCGGCTAACCTAACCAGACTCTGAAGTGTCGTTGACTTAGACCTGAGGTACTCGAGTGACCTAACATTCTCTGAGCAAGTGGCATCACAGACTCGAAAGTCGAGGACGCATACTCAAGAACTTTCACGACAATGAAGCCAAGCTAATTCTGTACAAAATATGTGTAAGGCCACTACTAGAATACTGTCCATTTATTATCAGCAGCACTCGCACACGTGACAAGCTAAGGATAGAAAGTGTCCGACTATATTTTACCTCCAAAGTACTTGGCTACGATTGTAAGAAGGACTACATCTCACGGCGCATGATCCCAAAACTTGCCCCACTTTGCACAAGACGACTCGTTATTAACCTAGTATTCTTCTTTGAGGTCCACAAAATATCACTCTCAGACAATAAGGACATACCATTGGCACAGGAAGGCTCTTACGATCTGTGTGACCAAATTTGCACAGTGACAATAAAGGCCTTTGAATCAACACTCCGCGGAATTTTCTTCACAGTCATGTATTCTAAAATATGGAACAGCCTGCCTCTAGAATTCAGAACTTGCACCTCAGTTATAAGTTTCAAACGCTCTCTGTACAGACTGTTTCATTCTACTGATTACATTAATAAACTGTTTATTCCTAGAACGAATCAATTATTAGTTTACTATAGTACCTAATAAAAGCACATAAATACCCTAATTACTCTATAAACGATAAATAAACTAGTCTCATAGATGCATAAAAAGACTAAGTAGAAATAAATCTTTATGTCTGATAAGTAATAATGTACAACGAATATAAACATGTAAGTACAAACACTAGGGTGATAGTGAAGACCAATTACTTTTTCTTCGCTCTCTGGTACTTTGCTGCTCGCCTCTTTTCTTCTATTTGTCTTGTAGTGGAAGTTGTATACACCTACATTTAGACTGAAGCTGAGAAACAATTGAAATCACTTACTAATATATCATCCTTCAAGATTTGGCTAGTAATGGCTCAGCATCCTCGGAATATCCTCTGTCACCATAACAAGACGGTGTACAGCATTCTATACAAGCACTGCCAATGGTCTAAAATGGCTTATAAATAGCTTTCTATGTGTTAATCAACTTACTCGTACGGGGGGTGATGATATCCGTTAGAGCGTGTTAAATTTTCCGCGTCTCAGGTTTTCTCGTCTTTCATTGGTTGGAACAGTGGTGGCTTGATAGACGTTAAATGCCATGTTCTAGTAGCGCTGTTAAAATTTCCCTTGGAAATTTTTTTTGTCAATAATTTTTAATGAAATTGCGTTATACGTTATCTGGATTGATGAGAATCCCCATTTTCTGGCCTGTTATTTTGGTGTCCGCGTCATGTAGTCTGACTGCGACACCCCCTAGCATATTGGTTGCAACGATCAGTGTTTCAGGCGAACTGTAGCAAAATATCGCTATAGTGAGAAAGATAGGATAGTTGAAGGGTAATTTCATCTACATAAATAATCTACTTTATTTAGATGCTGCACCTTTCGTCACGGTATCATTCAATGGAGACTTCACGTCTCAGGATATTAATTCAGCCTATTTACGTGCGAAGAACAGTCCTTTTTGACAAAAGAATTCTATCAGTACTTCGAAATCACCTGTAAATGCTAACAGAACCTTCTGTGGGAATAGAAGTAATCATGTAGATGTGTCTCACCGCGTGTGTTTGGACAGAAATTATCGTAAGTTGAGAGGTTATTTCTAAGTGGATTTCATGTCTATTTGCACTGTTTAGTGTAGTGTAATATGAGTTATGTGGACTCAATGTATAAAAAATACCTCAACTTTATTTATACTGTGCCATTGTCACCTTAGCTGACTGCTTGGCTA